CTACCATTTAGGCAAAATCTTAAAATCAAATATACTTCTGCCAGAGCCCTCCTAGAGAACAGCTACCATGGTGAAAGCAGGCATTTAAGAGTTAGCAATACCAGACAAACCTAACACATTTCCTTTTTTTTCTGTTTGTGAGTTAAAAAAAAATTAACCCAAACCAGGCCAGATGTGCTGATTAAGTCCAATCAAAGGTTTTGCAGGCTGAGCAAGTGGTCGATTCAATCTGACAATTTCTTAAAACCAAATGAATGTACGCCTGATGAAGAAGACAATATATACCTCTTGTCCAGAGATTGATCACTGTAAAGACAGCCAAAACAATGGTGGAATCATTTGGAAAGTTGTGGCTACAGTGATTCAGTAGCTTGAAGAGTAATGTTACCAGAAGGAGCACACATACACACTCCAGGGATGCTGCCATTGCTGGTTCTAGAACCACACTTTGAGAACCACTGGTCTAGATTTTGGGCTTTATTGAACAAAAGTATATGCCTAGTTCATGTTACCCATTACTCATGCAAGTTTCTTTTTGCTAAGCTTATTAAAAATGCCCTGAATATGTGTCTATAACCATTTGCTACTGTATTCTTCTATAAATCTGTTTCAAAGTACTCTAAAACTTTGCTTATTTCATATAATTGTTTAAATCATTACACTTTTTGTTGCCCTTGTACCTCTTTCCCACTCTTTTGTCCTTTTAAATCTCTAATATCTTTGTCGCTCATAGCTGGCATACATACAAATGCTTTGAAAGGCCTGGGGGCTCTGGTACAGATATGGTCTCATTCTCACACTAAGCTGAAGTGACAGCCCATAACAGAGATAAAGTGGAGGGGAAGCACAGGCTTGTGTTTAGGAAAGTTGTACCTCCAACAAGTGTAATAATCACCACCAATACCGTATGACTAACATTAACTAGACATGGATTAGACAGTTTCACCTTTCACAAACAGAACACATTTTCACAAACTCTTTAAATCCTTATGTTCTTTCACTCAAATGGTAAGTAGAATTAATTTCCCTTGTGTAAAAATGGTAATGTACAATATGAATGATCTAGGCCTTCTCAGTGGCTTTCAGTATAGTCCCTTGGTAGTAATCACATTGAATAGCACTGGGTATCAGGGCAATTTAACTGACCATCAGCTATTAACTAAAATGATTCTAGGAGATTAAGGTATTTTCTATGTTCTGGAGACAGCTGTCAGGGCATTTGGCCTGTCTGTGGTGAAAAATACACTTCTACAACTAGTTGATGCCTAATATGCTGCATGTAGAACTTCATTCCTTTGGCTTAAGGCTTTTCCCCTGTTAAAATACAAGTGGCCCTCAAAAGAGGTAGCATTAAGCATAAGCCATAATCTTATAGTACGTGAATTTTCCCTTCCTGAGAGCATATTTTTCTTAGAGAGGAGGAGAACAAAGTAGGAGGCACTGAGAAGAGTGGGTTCTGGGAAGTGTGGTCTGGGAAGAATGGAGCAGAAAGAGGAGACAGAGGACCACTGTGACAGACCTCCCACTCATTCACTATTTTGCTGGAGGGCTGTTCCTGTGGGTACTCCTACTGAAATGGGTGCTAACTTGACACTTGGAGCAGGTGACTTAGAAATCAACTGTTTTCCGATACTATTGAAGATTCTTTAATGTATAGGCATACAAAGGCTTATAGCAATGGAAAAATAGCAATAACAAGTTTTGGTGCAACAGATAGGGAGTTACCCCCCAAATCAGAAAGAATATATGTTTTCATAGGAAGAGAAACTAAACTGATATTACTCTACACAGTGCAAATCACAGGGCTGGGACGAGGGTAAGGCACTTGCATGGCCCTGAGAGTGGGCACCTCTTTGACTTATGCATGCTAGGAGCCTCACTCACCTCACCCTAGTCCTGGCCCTGGCAAATCATATGAAAGTGAAAGCTCACCATCATGTCACAGACTTGAAGAGAACAGAAGGCTAAATGAGTGAGGAACAGAGCACTAAGCATGAACTTGGCTTTTTCCTGACTAGTTCATTTATGAGGAAGAAGGGAGGTGCATGGATAGATCTACACAGGCTGTGATTGGATCTATGTTATCTAGACAGTTGACATGGATACTAGGTAGTGAAATGCTTGTTAGAAGAGCTTCGTAGGATCTCCTCTGTCTTTACACATTCAAGGTAACCTCCTGGGTGGCGCCTGTGGCCCAAGGAGTAGGGTGCCAGCCCCATGTGCCGGAGGTAGTGGGTTCAAACCCAGCCCCGGCCATAAACTACAACAACAACAATAAAAAAAAAAAGGTCACTTCCCTAGCTCAGCTGGTCAATTTGTGGTGATTAGGCTAATGGAAACTATTTTGCTGCCTGTTGTCTCATCTCCTTTATGGGTGAGCTGTTGGCTAGGGATGCAGTTCCTGGGAAATGGGGCTGAGGGACAAGTTAGGGTCAGGTGGGAGGCCCTGGAGTGAGGCTGAGACAGGCCAAGTTGTACAAGCGGAAGAAAGGAGACACCAGCCAAGCTTACTCCTGTACTGAGAATAACTTACTCTCTCCCATCAATATCTGAACCACAAACATGCAGTGAATACCTACCAAGTGCAAACCACCTTTAGTTACCAACTAACCTCTTCTCCTGGGGCTGGCTCCCTCTATTTCTGAACAGATGGAAGTCAGTCTAGCTGGGCCACCTGCTGCTATTGGATGGAATCAGAGAGAAAGAAGGAGATGGGACCAACTCGAAGTGGAAGCTGACCTTCAGGGGCCCAACTTCATTTCAAACTTCTTCTCTATTCTACCTTTAAAAAGTATTATTATGGCTGGGTATGGTGGCTCACTCCTGTAATCCCAACGCTCTGAGAGGCCAAGGAGGGTGGATTTCTTGAGCTCAGGAGTTTGAGACCAGCCTAAGCAAGAGTGAGACCCCATCTCTACTAAAAATAGAAAAACTAGCCAGGCATGGTGGTGGGTGCCTATAGTCCCAGTTACTCAGGAGGCTGAGGCAAGAGTATCATTTGAGCCCAAGAGTTTGAGGTTGCTGTGAGCTATGGTGCCACAACACTCAGGGTGACAGAGTGAGACTCTGTCTCCTCCCCCCCAAAAGTGTTATCATTATTCTTCATACTAGTACTAGTCATAGTAGTAGGTTCTCTACAAGCCTTCTTGCAAGGCTTTCAGTCTCTCTTCCCCAGTCTTGGCAGAGAAGAGGCACAAGGCAGCAAATATTGTGGTAAGTGCCTGGGTGGGAGTGAGGGTTGGTGTTACAATAATTAAGAGTAGGAAGTGCTTGGGGTTCTGTTAATCAGTGACTAACACAAAGTTTCACAGTTTGGTTTTTTGGGACAAGGTCCACCTGTTTCAAAATACTAAATGAATATTTCCAATCCCAAGTGTTATCTCTGACCATACAATCTCTGCCCCAAATCCTCTGTGCTAATGGGAACACTGGGCGTTTAAGGGCCATAGTGATGATGTGGAAGATGTTCTAAAGATTTAGGGCATACAGAGTATCATAGAGGAAAGCAAGAATCAAGGTAATTGAAAAACAGAAAGTGGGCATCCAGCTTTAGAATATTTGGGGAAACTTCCAGAGGTAGCAAGGTGAGGGGAGAGGTACAACCCACTCAAAGTAGTAAACAAGCTTCCAGAAAATTAGCCAAAGTAACAAGTCCTATACTGTGTGAGTCCCATACTTGGCTTTAGAGTTCAGCTAGTCATAATAATGGTTCCCAAGGAGCAGGCTCTGGCAGCCTTTCACTTTTGTTAAGCAAAAGCACAAACACTCCTTCATTTCCCTACAGAGGAAAATGTTTCTGTCTTCCGGAATTCTGAGTCTAGGGCAGACAAGTGTGGCATTCATATGTAAACTAAGGCCCAGGGAAGAATTTGTTTTATTTCACACAAAAATCCCTGAAATTTGTTTAAGACCTTCAAACAAAGTAGTTTTAATACTTTCAAAAGCAACTGGGCTTTCACTGGCTGTTGATTATTTTAAGTGGCTTCTTTCTAAATCAGGGGAAGTGCTGACTGCAAGAGTTGGTATGCCTTGCCTGTTCCCAGAATTCAGAACTGTACCAACCAAGGGCCTAGGTCTAGAGCTTCTCTGTGTGAGAGGCCTTGATCTTCTCAGTACTCAGTGTGGGGTTTTGGCTGTTCTGTCGAGCTGGAGAGTGGGCAGTTGGGCCAAGAACTTGCTTCTCCTTGGTGAACAACAAGACCTATCAAAATCGAGATCTGCTTGTCTCTGGAACTCTTACTGCAGCCTCCAGGAGGTTGACCAATGAATCTGTTGGTTGGGGGTTGGTGGAGTAGGAAGGTATTAGGGAACTCTCTTTGTGAGGCAGACTACAATTTCATTTGACTTTTCTTTTTGCCTTTTGGGGATAGTATACAACTAACTTTCCATCACTGGTCAGAAAGTTTCTTTAATGATTTGTCTGTCTTTCCCTCACCCTCCAACCTCTCAGAAATTAGGCATACAAAAATCAAATGAACCACCACTCTTGCTCTGCTTTGGAAATTGAGCCGACAAGAATAGTTAGTGCCTGTAAGCTTTGGAGACAAAGCAATCACAATGACTTTTCTGGAGCTCTTTCAGCATCCCATTTACTGAAGTTCTTATACTCTCCTCCAGCATGGTTAATTGAAAGTTAGTCAAACAGCAGACTCTAAATGGTAAAAAGTAGCCCTTTTGGTGTGTGTTATGGGCCATAACAACTTGCAAGGCTGCCTTGTAGATTTTGGATAGACCTTTTTAGTTTATATGTTCTTGGTTTTCAGAACAGAGTCAGACTTCCTTTAAAGAAAAACAAACCATGATTTGAATTGAATGGTGGGGGGCAAGGTGCACTTACTTTCTATCTTCTTTGTGACTTTGATGATGCTGTTCCTTCAGTTAATTACTTCTTATAATGAGTGTTCTATGCAAATGAAAAGAGAGTTCTTAGAATGCAGCATGAGCTGGACACAGATCCTGGCTACTGCTGTCAATAGATTTTTTTGAAGGATTGAGGGGTGCACTTGCGAATTACTGTGGGTAGATCTGAGTGAACAAATGGCTGTCTCATTTGTTGGCTGAGCCTGGTTCATCCAAAACAACATGGTCCTGACCTTTTCTAACTAACGGGGGGTCTATATGTTTATTGAGGCTTATCACCCTGATCTCCGTGTAGACAATCAAGCTGAGAAAGGCATGAAGTTTCAGGACAGAGTCACATTTATGTTTTGCACCACAAAAGCCATCTAATCAACCCCATGCTGAAATAAGTGCACACCTGCACTTTCCACGTGGAGGAAAGTTAAAGTGTGGCTGAGGAGACATTAGAGTCTTTCTGTATCTCCACACAGGGCCATCAGGACCTCCCCAGGATAATTAATTATCAGTAATGGCACCATATACCCCCCAGATTTGGCAGCCCCCAATATGCTCTCTCACTGCACCCCTCAGTGACAGGAGCCAGGGATGGAGCAGCTGGGTCATTGATTGAAAACGTGGCACATGGGCTCTCACATCTGAGAACTTCTTCTTAGTTAGTGTGCACCTCTGGGGGAGAATAAGAAACTTGGGAGTCAGTCAAGGCAAGACTGTAAGTATGAAAATGAAGATAATTAAGTGCCTGTTGACTTTAGCTCTAGATGAAGTAGCCTCTCTCCTGCCATCCAGAGTGTGGGTTAATGTAATAGAAATGTAGGCTCTGTTGTTATTCCCAAGGTTCCTTTTTAAAACTTCTTCTCTAATCAAGTTAAGTAAGTAAATCCTGCTTGTTGAACCCAGGGCTTAGGTACTGGAGTTATCGGTGGTTTCATAGTCTTTTGAAAATTGTGCAATAATTCTCCGAGCTAGTGGGTTAGTGGTCTTCAGCAGTTCGGCTGCTGAGGGGCGGGACTTCGGAGTTGCCTTGCTTCCCTTTTTCTGTAGCAAGGCCTTGAAATCATCATTTCTGCCAGCATCTAGGTTGGCACTGCCACCTGACCCTGAGGTGGCAGCTGACTCACTGATCGGAGACTCAGCTGTGTTCTTTATCGGTGAATGGGAGCTTGGTCTGCCGCAGGCAAAGGCCTCACCAGGCTCCTTCCAGCCAAGCAGCTTTCTTTTGGACCTAAATAAGAGAAAGTTTGGTATGAGTGAGCTCACACAGCAGATGCTTCCAATGCTTCACAGGCCTCTGTGCTAGTGACATGATCTGAGAATGGCCAGACAGCAGTCTTGCAAGTAGTTGTATTGACTGGCTTTCTCTTTCCCCTCTAAGTCCTCAGAGTTTCTGTTGGATGCCCTGTCCCCAAATTCCTTTCAGTGCCCACAGCTGGAGTCACGTGGCCTGTGCCTCCAGGCTCAGTTCTGCCCAGGTTCTAGGACCAAGGATGAATTTCAGGAGTCAAGCCTAGCAGCTTAGTGACTCTGAGTTGGGATCCTGTTCTGAACTGGTGCTCTAGTTCCAATAACTGGGCTCTTTCCAGAGTTCTTGCCACTGAGCCCCTCACTTGTGCTCCTGCTCAATAATTGGGTCCCTATCTCTGCTTAAGTTCTTGCATTGGTATACCGCCTGGTGCCTCACTTCATCTCTTGATAATATGTTTTGGCACAAGGAATTCTGTGAAGGGTTAAATGTGTTTGAGTGTAGACAGCTGCGAGAAAGCAGATGGAGCCACAGTAGGCCAAATGGTTGCTAGGAGATGAGGGGCCTCTCACTCAGCACCTGGTCTTTCCCTCCTTTCCCCTCCTCCATTTTACCCAGTGATGTCAGTGAATTTGAGACATGAGGCCCTGGATTGCACTCATATATGTGGGTATCCGAACTTAGTCTCCAGCTGTAATTCTAATGGCTGCTTAAAGGTAGGAGTTTTTCTTTAAGCAGAAAAAGGGAAGGCAATTATAATTAGAATTAATGAAAGTGGTCCAGACCTGTGTATCACAGTAAATAAATCTTCAGTTGTGCGCGAAGCCACAAACACGTCATCATCATCCTCTGCAATCCATTCAGCTGTTTTATCACTGATTAAACTTTTTTCTTCCATACTTGGTTCCACAGAACTCCCTAGGCATAAGAACAAAAGGAATGACTTAGACCACAAAATACAAAGCACATTCTCAGATGCCATTTCATTTGATGTTCAAAGCAACTCTGGATAGGCAGCAGAAGGGAGGAATTTTTAATGTCTCCATTTTGCAGAGGAGGAACATGAAGTTCAGGAGTTTAATGATTTGCCCAAGGTTGAGGGAGCAGTGAAGATTGGCTTGGGTCCCTGTTCTCCTGTGCCTTTTTCACTACAACAGGCAGCCTGAACATTTTCTCATTTTATTTATGTACTTATGTATTTATTTATTTATTTTTGAGACAGAGTCTTACTATGTTGCCCTTGGTAGAATGCTGTGGCATTACTGTTCACAGCAACCTTAAACTCTTGTGCTTAAACGATTCTCTTGCCTCAGCCTCCCCAGTAGCTGGGACTACAGGCACCTGCCACAATGCCTAGCTATTTTTTGTTGTTGTTGCAGTTGTCATTACTTTTTACCTGGCCTGGGCTGGGTTCGAACCCACTAGCTTGGGTGTATATGGCCGGTGCCCTACCCATTGAGCTGCGGGCACCACTGCATTTTCTTGTTTTAAATATGGTATATTGGTGGTGCCCATAGCTTAGTAGGTAGGGTGCCAGCCACATACACAGAGGCTGGTGGGTTCAAACCCAACCTGGGCCAGCTAAAACAACAGTGACAACTGCAACAAAAATATAGCTGGTCGTTGTGGCAGACGCCAGTAGTCCCAGCTATTTGGGAGGCTGAGGCAAGAGACTCTTTAAAGCTCAAGAGTTTGAGGTTGCTGTGAGCTGTGACACCATAGCACTCTACTGGGGGCAACAAAGTGAGACTCTGTATCAAAAGTAAAGAAATAGTCTCGGCACCTGTGTCTCAAGTGGCTAAGTTGCCAGCCACATACACCCAAGCTGGTGGGTTTGAATCCAGCCCGGCCTGCCAAACAACAATGACGGCTGCAACCAAAAAAAAGCTGGGCATTGTGGCGGGCACCTGTAGTCCCAGCTACCTGGGAGGCAGAGGCAGAATTGCTTGGGCCCAGGAGTTGGAGGTTGCTCTGAGCTGTGATGCCATGGCACTCTACCCAGGGTCAACCCAGACAGCTTGAGGCTCTGTCTCAAAAAAAAAAAGTAAATAAATAAATAAATAAAATCAAGGAGCTAAGAGTGATCGAAAGCAAGAAGATAATAAATAAATAAATAAATAAATAAAAGCAAGGATCTGAGAGTGATCTAAAGCGGGGGTGAGTGGGACCTAGCTGAATCTCAGAGAGAGAGCCTGTGGGGTCTGAGGAATTCTATTCTTGTTTTAGTCACACGAGATTTTAATGTTTGGTGTTATGGGTTCAGAGAAGGATGAGAAACATGGATGAACTTTGAGAACATTAAGCCAAGAGAAATAAGTTATAAAAAGACAAATACTACACAATTCCAGTTACATGAGGTGTCTAAAGTAGTCAAATTCATAGTCAGAAAGTAGAATGGTGGTTGTCAGGGAGGCATCTAGGGGGAGGAAGAAAGGGGAGTTGCTGTTTACTGGGTATAGAGTTTCAGTTTTGCAAGATGACAGGGGTTCTGGAGGTTGGTTGCTCAACTGTGTGAATGTACTTAACACTAATGACACACACATTCAAAAGTGGCTAAGATGGTAAAAGTTATTATGTGTATTTTACCACAATTAAAACAGAAAGAGACAGGAAAAGAAAGGATGAGACACTAATGAGCCTGGTTTTATGGTTCTTGGAAGAGGTAGCCTCAAACCACCCCGAAAAGTGAGCTCCTTTTCCTCTGGAACGCAGGAAGAAAAGCTGCTGATGGTAACATCTATTGTTTCAGAACACCCCCCACCCCAGCCTCCCACAGCACTTGAACTCAGTCTAGGGGGTGTTGAGTCCCCAGGAAACTAAATTCAGAGCAGCTAATGAAAATTCCTGTACAGAGAGGTGGAGAGTAGCTCCTGGGGCCCAGGATGCATGCCTGGTTAGGTAGATGGGATCCTGAAGTCATAGGGTGCTAGGACTTAGTTTGATTTCATTAACTCAGCACTAGGGCTTCAAGAGTAGATTGGCCCAAACTGGGCTTTGGAGATCTGCCCCCAGGTCAGTCCTGATCCCAAGGGCAACAAGGCCAACCCATGGTATAGACTAACCCAAACCTCAAGAGGTACTCCTTACTGACTTTGGTCCTCCTGTGATCAGGATAAATATTCTGGGGCATCTGCTTCTGTTTCTGGCACTCCATTTTTACCCTCATCTCCCCTGTGATTGAAGAAAAAGCCAGGGACAGTTTACTAACCCAAAGGGCTTGCCTTCTTTTCACTGTCAACCTGTGGAGTTGAAGTCATCCTTTCACCAAGTGACCGCAGGCCATCCTCAGTGTGGGGACACTTGGCATCTTCCTCGAGGGTGATGATGGGGCTGACATGCAGCCTTGGTTCTGCCATGTAGGCCTCCATCTGGGCTGCGGAGTAGGTAAGAGGCAGGTACAGCACGCTGGGCTTTTTTGGTACAGGAGGTGGAATCTTGCCTTTCCTTTTCTCAGCTTCTTCCTGACTTTGGAGGCTAATTCTTTCAGGCAAGACTCTCACTTTGGGGCCCTCATCCTCCATACTTCCTTGGGGAGGTTGCTGGGTTCCCGAAAAGAAAGCACCAGAGGAACTGACAAAAGGTGTAAAAACAAGAGATGAGGGTGTTGTCGACTCGCTTGGGTTTCTGCCATTGGGGAAACTGGAGGACTTTGGTTTTCGCACTACTGTGTAGCTGTCTTGAGATATTGGTCTCCCATGTTGAATTGAGCTCTTGGGGGTCATAGTCAAAGTCGGTGAAGTTAGTGGGTATTCCTCGGCAACAGATGGTGGCTTGTGGACCAAGCTTGGAGGTCTTCGGGCAAGTGGAGGCTTCTCAGCTATGGGAGGTTTCATCTTTCTCTCTGGCAAGGTGAGGACTTCTGCTTTGGAGTCCTCAGTATAGTCAGGGCTCTCAATGTCATCTTCTGGCTCTGACTTACTGACTGACCTCAGGCGAACAGAACGTAGGTCGGACTGAGTAACCATGGGCATGATTGGCTGGTTGGGACTAGTTTTCTGGGCCAGCTTAGCTCCAAAATTTGTATCTGAGTGATGCCTGCTCACCTTGGTTTTGTTTCTAATGGAGATACTCATCCCAGATAGATCCAGGTTGGTTGAAGGGGTCAACGGTAGGTCAAATGATAGCCGTGACTTGGGAATTTTCTCCATTGGTGATGTTGGGGGCAGTGATGACTTCCTCTCAGGTACCACTGGACGTACTCGGACACTGCTGCTTGGAGGGGGTAAGTGGCCCAGGGTCAAGGACATGGAGACGGTGGGAGTTGGTGTCTCTGACTGGCTGGAGTAGCCACTGGAGGGTGACATCAGTCCAGTGGGCCTTCCTGGGGAGGATACCTCTCTAGCCTCCACCTCAATGGAGAGTTGGGAAGGTGTAGTGGCTCTGGAGGTAGAAGGGGAGGCAAGAGACTCTGAGCTGCCCTGAACTTGGGTGCACTCAATGACTGTGGTGCCAGTAGCAGTGCTGGAGCTGGACAAAGATTGGTAGGTGTCACCAGACTTCCAGTCAGTTAGATACCAGTGGTGGGAGAATTGTGTACCTTCTGAATCTTTGAGGGTTGGCACAGCTGGGTGACCCTGAGCATCTAGGTGGCATGAGTGATGTCCTTGGTATTCCAAGGAGAGGCAAAGGCTTCTGGGCCTCTGGTCCTTGGGTAGCGTGGACCCCCCTTCTGGCAAGAGGACTGGCTCATCTTTGACCAGTGAGACACTACGTGTTGGTGGGGAAGGCTTCTTTTTTGCCTTCTTAAGTGAGATACTCTTGGACCTCTGCCTTCTGGGCCGGGCCTCCTGTTCGGCACTAAGGGAGGCAATGTTGTCAGCACTGTTGCTGCCCTCAGAACTTGTACTGGCGTAAGGCAGGGCACAGGCCTCATTGGTCTTCTGCTCCTCATCGTAGTCCACATCTGTGGCACCTGTGTCTGTAGGCACAGACAGCGACCGCTCCCGGAATCTGCTGGTCCCACGTGGGCCTGTCTCCAGCTTTGAGGTAGGACCAGTCAAAAGACCAATCTTGGAGGGTCTTTCCTGTATTTGCCTTCGTTGAGTAGGGTGCTCAGAATAGCCAGTTAACCCACTGCATCCTGTTGGATTATCACGAGTGACGAAGAGGGTAGCAGCCTCCTTAGTAACCAGAGGTGGGAGTGTGTTCAGAGAGACCCAAGAATTCCCAGAGGAAGGATTTTTTCCATCTTCATTGACTTGATTTCTCTGGCTGGGGGCACATGGAGTCATGTAGGTAAAAGCATCTCCCTTCCAGGAAGTGGAGAACATTGATTCTGCTGGTCCATTGCAAGAATTTGGGACACTGTACACCATTCCCATGCTCTCCATGCCAGGAGGGTTTGGACCACTCTGTGCCTGGGGAGGTTCTTCTGACTCACTTGAAGGATTTCTCAGTACTGGTGATGTGAGACTTGGGAACTGAGCTTCCGGACCAACGGCAACTCTTCCATGAACACCTTCCAAAACTGAGTGACTGGGCCTGATGTTGGAGGTGGTAGGGTGAGCCACACTGCCTGCTGGGCTGTTGCTGTGACCTAGAAGTAAACACAGAATGTTAGTAGTGCAGCAAGGGATCCTTATCAGCTGTTTTGAGACAGGAGCACCAACGTTTTGCCAAGAAGCATCTGTCAACAGCATGGTCAGAATTCCTTGGTTCTTCCTTTCCATGGATGATGGATGCTGGGAAAATTGGGTCCTTGCCCATCACCCCACAGTGAATCTTAGAGTGCCCTTGAATTGTCCAGGTGGCTGCCAAAGGCTTTCCAGCTTTGGTTATTCCTTTTAGAGCTGATGTGTCACATGGGACTATGTTGGGTTTTTCCCATACTTTTACCCCAGACTCATGAAATCATCACAGACCTCAGCCTTCATCCATCCAGAGATGAGAGCAGAGGTTTCCAAACTAAGGACAGCACTGTGTGACTTTCAGCTCCAGCAGTGACTCTGGAGTATGCCCAAGCTGGAAAGTTAAGAGTCTGGTTGCATTTTTGGTACCTTTCAATTTTAGGCTTTGCAACATAAGATACTCCTTAGATTATATCCTTATAATCTACAGATATGAGCAAGCCATTCAGATGTTCCAAATCCCCAAAGGTTTTCTCATATATGCAAACAACTATTACTGCTATGTCATTATTATTACTACTGCTGCTGTTATGATAATTTATAATAACAGTCACTATTTGTTGAATATGAACTATATGCCAGGCACATGCTAGGCAAATTACATACAATAACTGTAATCCTCACAGTAACTCTACTGAGTTGGTATTGTTCTTCCCAGTTACAGGTGAAGAAGCTGAAGCTCAGAGATATTATGAGACTTGGCCACCGCCTCATGGTTAGTAAGCAGAGAGGCCTGGACTCACATCCTCTGGTATCTCCCTGCTCTGTGCTCTTTGGATGAAATTCATTTAATGGTAGTAATGGTTCTGTTAAGATGGTGGTTTCCTTCCTCCTTATCTATTTGCCTAAATCTGGCAATATCGTTATATTACATTTATAATGGGAAAAAAATAATGCAATCAATTTATTAGCCCTGGAGATCTATTCTCCATAATCAGTTGCTGCCCTTGGCTATTCTTTTTTTTTTTTTTTTTTCTTACTACTTCTTCTTCTTCTTCTTCTTTTTTTTTTGTAGAGACAGAGTCTTACTTTTTTGCTCTCGGTAGAATGCAGCGGAGTCGCTCCAGCAACCTCCAACTCCTGGGCTTAGGCGATTCTTCTGCCTCAGCCTCCCAAGTAGCTGGGACTACAGGCGCCCACCACAATGCCCGGCTATTTTTTGTTGCAGTTTG